TAATCGCCTCAATCTTATATTGTAATACAAAGTTATTATAAAAATACTGAAGGAAGGTTTATCTGCCTGTTTAAAACAAGAAATTCCGTTACATAGTCCGTTAAAACAACAAATTCCGTTAGTTTTTCCGTTAAAAATAAGAAATTCCGTTACATAGCCACTTTTAATATATAGAAGATATAAACACACGTTGAACTACTTCATCTAATTTTTTTATTTAATTTGAAACATATCTTTTGCTTTTAGGGACCCTCCTACTATTTTTTCTTCTTCATCAAATGTGTTTAGGACATGTAGTCATGTACATTTCTTTATATATGAGTGACATATAAATTTGAACTTAACACATTTGAGTGCTGTAATATTATATTGAAAATTTTTATCTAAAAGTTTAGATCGTAAGAGAAATAATATTTGAGAATAATGAGTTACATTAACTTTCCAAAGCTATAATAAATATTGTGTTAACATGTACATATAGATATATCGATAATAAAATAGATTAGGCCTGATAAAAAAATAGTGTACAAAGACTAAAATGTCTAAGCTCTTGTAGAGCGCTTCAGTCAAACTTTGCTGATCAATTTTTTAGGGAAAATTATAGTTGCGGTCATTGACTACGCAGATTTTATCCTAACATTCACTTTGTGTCGCCCACAGTTTCAAACCTTTCAAAAATATGCATCTGAAATCCAAATTGATGGAATTTGAATGTTAATTGTCCAGAAAGTCAAAATTTTATCAATTTTGATCAAATAAAAAAGGTAAAATGGCAATTTTCCATTTTCCTTACATTAAATAAGTTAAAAAGTTTAAATTTAAAAATCAAAAAATCAAAATAAAATAAAAACCAGGTCCACCACCATCGACTCTCTTTCTTCCCAAAATAGTCAACCACCACCGCCAATCGCCGCTTGCAATAGGCACCACCACCCATCATCTCCTACAACAGCCACCACCACTCGACTCTCCTTCCTCCCCAAAATCAGTCCACCACCACCGCCCGTCATCGCTTACAACAACCACCACCACCCGACTCTCCTTCTTTCCCAAAACATTATGTCCACCAACACGTGACTCTCTTTCTTCTCCTAAACATCATGCAAGAAGAAGTTCAGATTATAACTTACTATAAAATCCAAAACTCAGAGAAAATAATCAAATGAAAAAACAAAGAAATTGAGATATGTGATGGAAAATTGTCCTTATGTTATTGGGTTCGACGACCTGACCCCGATTATCTGGCTTCGACTTTGAAAAAAGTGGTGGTGGTGGGAGGTGAGAGAGTGGAGAGAAATGGAGGCGGCGGCTTTGTGGATAGAGGTGAGAGGGTGGAGAGAAATTGATTAGTTTAGGGTTTGAATATGTAAAATAAAATACCTGATTTTTTAATAAAT